CACCACATAATCAAAATAATAAATACTATAATAATAATCTTCACATTTGGTATTGCGCTTTTCACATCAGGAATAGTCTCAAAGCGCTTCATAGGATTTACTGTGAAGAGGAATTGTGTATTTGTAGATGAACGTCGCAGCCCAATTGTGCACAACAGTGTCTGAAAACAGCCGTGATGCTGTGATACTACAGCATCAATTCAATTATTTGTTTCATGTGATACATATGTTGGAGCAATTTTGATGGACAATAGGCTTTAAATGCTCCATTATAACAAATAAAAATCCAACCTTATATTTGACATATTTATTCTGCCTAATTAGGAAGTCGTTAAATGGCACTATTCAAAAGAGTAGAAGGTGAGTTTCCCAGGGTACTGACCAGCAGTCTCCCAGATAAAATAGTTTTTTTAATTTCATGACTGTTTGTGGGATTTTGCTGTGAGCAAATTGGCTGCAACATTCGTCTACAAAATGCAGCCACTGCATTTCACAGGGATTTGTAAAATTTGTAAATATATAACCACATAATATCTCCTGAAATAACAAGTTAGCAAAGTTTATAAACTGGAGATGAACAATATATTTGGTCATTCTGTTGCACTTTGGAAATATCAATTCATGTTCTTTGTGACTAGTCAGTTTATTGGTGGCACAAGTTAACATTCTATAAATGGAAACAACTAGGAAGCAAACTAAGCGAATACTCCAAATTACAACAACAAAATTACATTTGTATAGCACCTTTCATGTCAGGAGGATGTCCCAAGGTGCTGAAAATTAAATTAAATATACATGACATTAAATATATGTTTCCCTGTGGGTTCAAGCAAACCGTAATCCAGGCTGACAATCGAGAGCAAAACTGAGGGAACACTGCATTATTTGCTGTATCTTTCTAAGTGAAACAATCAAGACAAAACAGAAATATGAAAGAAGTCAATCAACATCTGAGATATAATTCTTCAAGTAGGAATTTATATGAAGCATTTCCTTTCCAGATACCGATTGACCTGTGCATTTCCAGTATAGGCAATTTATTTTTAACCAAACAGCACAATGGTGGAAAATTTGTTCCATGGCAATGGCAGAACACAAGTTCACATAGGATTCATTGAAAGAATATGTGCATTCTGTGGCTCAATCATGAATTAAAAAAAACGTTTTTCTTTACAATTGGAAATATTCCTGCTCCTTTGGGGTATCATTCTTGATTTACTTTTGCTAAATGGATTCTGGGGTGTGTTGGGAACATACAACTCAAATGACACTAACAGCAACAACAACAACAACAACAAATTACATTTGTATAGTGCCTTTCACGTCAGGAGGACATCCCACAGAGGGTAAACATTTGTACCAGATGACAGATTTATCTCGAATAGAAGAATTATTCATTTTTCATATGTATCTGTGGATTAGATACATTCTTGGATGAATTTCCCTAGACCCGCTTACAATTTACAAAAATACACAACAGTTTACTTAGAATTTGGTCTCCTTTTCTGAAAAAGATTTAGCATAAAGCTTCATCTGTTTGCAGTCTTTAGTTTCAAAGATTAAAATTATGAAATATACGTGACTGAGTCCTGTCCTGGGTATTAGAGAACAGTTACCCAGTTTTGTAGCAAATCTTATCAAAATCCATAAGTAATTATTTTCCCAGTTTTAATATTTTATTTTCATCCTCATAATTCATTATATTCATCATTAATTAATTGAAGAGTTTCATCTTGATTATTCATTATATTTGTCATTAATTCATTCAAGATTTCCACCCAACAATCTAAAATGAAGGTTAAAATTAACACTAATAGCCTTTACCTAAATGAGCATAAAGCTCCAATCCAAAACAAATTAATTGCGTTACCAAAATAGGTGTAGTATCTAAGATATATAATATATATATATTATAAATTCACTCTGAGTGTTTTATTTATATCCAATTGAAAAACAATGAACAGAAAGTAAAACAAAAATAATTCATTTTGTAGTTCACACACATAGTATCTGTTAAAAGTAAGCTGCAATGAGGCCACAAGTTATTCAAAAATCAGTGATTGTTAGGAAGAAGTATTTCTTGTGGATTTTATTAGCATTCACCCAAGAGGTTAAATGTTTTACACAGGATATACTTTGCAAGCCCAGTGCAATTTCTGGAGCATTCAGCTGGACCATCAGACCAGGCACACTCCATTTGCTGGACTTTTCAAAGATTTAGCCAACCGTAAAATTAAATTGCTTTTTATATCAAATGCTTCTAAACGTTTAAATGGAGGTGACCTCAATCTGGATAAAATTCTTATTGTGATTACATCTATCATATCAACAGGAACATTTTTTAAGAATGAAGCTCCAGTAAAGCACAAGATACGTATGTAGTTCAAGTGCACAAGTTTAAATTTATTCAAGAAAGATTAATCAAAATGAATAGAGAATTAACTCTGAGATCATGATTACTCATTGCCCAAAGTTAATAGCTTTCCAACTTCTGAAGAGGGCTCCCACAAACAGCATCTAGTATTTCACTGTAAACATTACATTTAGTTTTTGAAAGATAATTAGCACTGAATGAAGGCTTATGTGCTAACTAAGCTAATGTTCAGAAGCTATTTAGTCTTGATAAGGTAGCGTTCAAAATACAAAATCTAGGAGGTCATACTATTAATAATAAAAATAATAATCCTTACATTTGATATTGACCATTTCAAGTCAGGAGGATATCACAAAGCATTCAACAGGATATATCGTAAAGTGGAGTAACCGTGTACCTTTTGGGCAAACACGTTTTCAAAAGAGAAATTCTCATGTGATAGAACCAATGTATTAAAACCCATTGAAATAGATTGAGTTGGGCAGATTCTTAAAAAGATAAATATTCTTTCATCACTTTCCTACATTTGTGTATTTATTTGTTAGAGATGGAAGACCTCTAGGCAAGTTATTCAAGAATCAAGGATTGTGAAGAAGAAGTATTTCTTGTGCATTCTATTAGCATTCAACCAAAAGACTGAATCTTTTACACAATATATACTTTCATTCTGTAATACATTGTGCCAAAACTAATATTGATTCTTGTATCCATTTCATGCTCATTGAGCTTTCAATCTGTCCATAGCACGCATGTGACCAAGTAACTCTTGTATGCTCAAACTGATGTAGGGAACGTACTTAGCGGGAGCTGATAAACTGTAAATTTTAAGATCTCATGGCATAACAATTTCCCTTGCGGGAATTGTAGCTCATCTGTTCCAAGTGCAAAGATATGGAAATAAAATCCAAACTACTGTTGCCATTTTATTTTGGCTGTTTGACTGCTTTGCGCATCTGGGCTGCCATGTTTGCCTACAAATACACAGTCACTCCACTTCAGAGTAAATCCTGTGAAGTGCTTTGGGACACTCACCCGATGTGAAAGGTTGCTATATCAAATACAAGGATTATTATTAATTTAATTGCTATGAATTATCGAAGCAGAAGCAGTGAAAACACAAGTGGAATAAAGTGTCCTTAAACGTTCAGCAAATTAGCTATATAATGCAATTCCTTTTATTGTCCAATTTTAATTTTTAACCTACTTACTGCTAGGTAAACGCACGTTTCTGTTTACCTAGCAGTAAGTAGGAACCCGTTTGGTAGTCGATTGGCAGATTGCTTTTCCGGGGATAATAATGCCTTAAAAAAAATTAAAATAATAATAATTTGGTCACTCAATTGTTTGTAGGATACTGCTGTATGCAATTGGCTGCCATGTTTCGCTCACAAGTATACAGTCAATTCACTTTACAATATATTCCGTGAAGCGCTTTGAGACATCTAGAAGACGTGAAAAGTGCTATATCAAATGCAAGGAATATTATTATTATTATATGTGGAGAGTTATTATTATACATGAGTGTTGAGCACAGATAGCATTATTTATAAAGCTAGACAGTATCATCCACAAAAGAGTCATTATCATTTATGTGAAAATTATACAGCCATTAATTGTAATTTCTATTTTACATAATTCATTAATAGTAAAATCCTTAAAATCATTTTAGAAATGCTATGCAAGGATATAATGATAGTAATCCTTGCATTTCAGATAGCACCTTATCATGTTGTTGAGACGTCTCAAAGCGCTTCATGGGATATACTGTAAAGTGAATTCAGTGTGTATTTTGTGGGGTGAAATGCAGCAGTCAGTTTGCACACAGAAATATCCCACAAACAGAGATAGAGTGAGTGAACAATTTTATTTGGGGAATTGTTGCTAAGATCATCAGAAAAATTCCCTTCTGTTTTCAAATAGAGCAATGGGATCTTTTATGTCCACCTGAACAGGCAGACCCAACTTCAGTTTAACATCTCATCAGACAAAAATCACCTCCGTCAATGCAACACACCCACAGCATTGCATTGGACTGTCAGTTTAGACAAGGCGGTTCCAAGTCCCAACATGGAAATTGAAAGATATTTTGTGAGCTGCAAATTAAGAGTGTGAAAGGAATTCAGTTTCGAGATGTAATATTTGTTCCTACTTTCAAATACAAACACTTTGAGAACTCATTCATTCTGTCTCTGACAATCCTCTACCACTAAACAGAGAAAACTACAGGAACGGTAAGAGTTCTGTAAGAAAGACAAAACTTATGAATTTGTGCAAATGGCATCACCACAGTAGCATTTTACCCTTTGTCAATGGTTGAATTGCTGTAAGGCCATCTGCCAGGACATCTATGGACCAGCCACCAATGATGAACCAATTCTGCTCCAATTGAGCAATTGGAAAATCCAGATTTTAGTTTTAACGCATCAATCTTCAACACAAACTTATTGTTCAAACACCTTTTTACTGTCAATGTTGAGTCTCAGAGCACATGGTTACAGTGTTGGCTAGACAGTCGTGTTGAGGAGTCCCTCACAGTGTCAGTAATCTAGACCCTACTTAATACCAAACACAATGTGTTGGCGTTCACCGCCAGAAACTTCTCAATACAGTACCGCACAGTACTTACACGGTGAAATGATACGTGAAGCACTTCCATCCGCTGGGCCTTTCCAAGAAGTTGTATACGTCTCCCTGCAGGCTAGTCTTAGTCAGGTAAGGTCGGTAAAAACAAACCGACCCATTGTTTCTATTAGTCTCCGAGCCTGCCATGGGGGGATTGTTGACCTGGAAGGTGGAGTGAGTTTTGTCCGCCTCAGGACTGGTTGGTACTCCTGATCCATTATTAACCTCTTGCTGGAGTGAAACTGGAGAGTAGCGAGCATCACCCGTGTCTTCGTTCACTTCCAAAAACATTGAGGAGCTTCGGTGGCCACTGATGCTGTGGAGTGAGGAGTTGGAGCTGTCCATTTGCCTGCTGAGATTGTACATGGGGTGTCCACCCGACTCACCGTTACCGTAAGGCATTGGGACATCTAGTGAGGCTCGATCCCCGGCGGATCTCTCATCTGAATGGATTTACCCCACAGGGGAAGGCAGCAGCAGGCAGGCAGGCAGGCGTTGTGTGGGACTTGGCATTGATGGTAAGGAGGTTTTGATCCCAGTCCTTTCGAAGTCGCACACACACACACAAGCAGCTCGTATCCCCTGGAAGAACAAGGAGAAGAAAAAGAGAGCGAACCTGAGAAAAAGAACAAATCTCGCTGAATGCAAATAAATTAGTTAAGAGATTATAAATAAATAACTTTTTTTAAAAAATACAAAGAACACACACTTGCAAATCTGCAATGAGTGCAATGGAGAGGTCAGTAGGGGGGGGAGTGGGGGGGCGATGGAATCTAGCTGCTATGGGAATAAAGTTGTTGCTCTGCAGTTACTCAGACGACAAGTGAAGAACAGATAAGATTAGGGCATTTAAAATAAAACTCTAGAGCATCGCCAGGGAGGGATGCGTTAAATACCAGGCGCATTATTTAAATAGCGACAGGGGAATTAATTTTTTTTGGGGGGGGACAGTTTTGCAAGAAAATGCCAAGAGGCAGATGGCGAGGCCACTTGGGCTGGAAAGCAAAAAAAAAAAAGCAAAAAAAATGTGAAAATTCAAAAAAAAAAAATGTTTACAATTTAAAAAAAGTTTTTTTTAAAAAAAGAAGAAAAAACTAAAAAAAAAAAGAAGCATAAGCCGAATTAAATAAGGCAAAGGAACCGTTCTTACTGTCAAGGGTTTTGTAGCGTTTGCCACAAACAACTGAGGATTCGCCAGACAACTCCACTGCAAAGTCACTTTGCGCACTTCCAGCAACACCCGCAGATGCAATGCACTGAAGTATCCCCCAAAGTGGGAGAGTGGGGGAGGTTGGGGTGGGGGTTGGGGTGCGGGTTGGGGGGGGGGGGGGACGAAGTCAACCCAAGAAACTGACCCGACCGACCCCCCCCACCCCCCGCTCTGTCTGTCTCACCTGCCTGGTCACCCGGAGCGGCTGTGGAGTGAGGAGTGAGGTGCGCTCCACTCGCCAGCGCGCAGTGACTGCGCTGCGCATCCACCTGTCGGGGGGGTGACACACACACACACAGACACACACACACACAGACAGATACACACACACACAGACACACACACACACACAGATAGACAGACAGACACACAGACAGATACACACACACAGATAGACAGACAGACAGACACACACACACAGATAGACAGACAGACACACACACACACACACATAGACACACACACACAGACAGACAGACAGACAGACAGACAGACAGACAGACAGACAGACAGACAGACAGACAGACAGACAGACAGACAGACAGACAGACAGACAGACAGACAGACAGACAGACAGACAGACAGACAGACAGACAAGCAGCAGAGCAGGCGCAGACCTGAGCCTCGCACCTGGGTCTGGGTCTGATCTCCTCACAATGTGTGCCCACTCCGCCCACTCCTCTTCTCAGCTCAGTCCCCCCACCCATCCTGTGTGGGAAGGGGGTGGCTGGGAGTGGGGGGTGGATGAGGGTGGGGGGTGGGGGAGGTTTGGAAGGTGGGGAGGAGTGAGTTCTCCTGAGGGTGGGGTGACCGTATTTTGTAAACCGAATGACAACATCATTTTTTTTTAAAAAAAATTGAACGCGACACAATTCTCGATCCACCGCTGTTTGGGGGACACTGCCGTGCGCCGATTGGCTGCCGCCTTTCGCCCGTAAAATATACAGTCAATTAACTTTACGGTATATTCTGCGAAGCGCTTTTGAGACGTCTCAAAAGACGTGATTAGGTGCTATGTCAAATGCAAGGATTATTATTAGTAGTAGTCGTAGTAGTAGTAGTATTAGTGATGCTGGCATTACTAGATATTGTTGGATTAATGGCGGCATTTCTCTGATCAGTGTTTTTGTTTTAGAATTGTAATATTCTTGCTAGTTTGCTGCTGAACTCATGACGGGGCAAATTTGGCCAGGGACATGATAATAATAATAGTAATAATCCTTGCACTTGACATAGCACCTGATCACATGCTTAAGACGTCTCAAAGTGCTTCACGGGATACTCTGTAAAGTGAATTGACTGTATATTCTGTGAGCGAAACCTCAATCGGGGACTGTCCTCGGATATCGTGTATATATGTTCACCCTACCTTAGGGCTAAGTTGATGTGCCTAGCATTGAAATATAAGAATCTTCTCAATGCTCTTTGACAGGCTTCAACAACAACAACAAGAAGATTCCATTTATAGAGCGCCTTTCACATCGGGAGGACTTCCCAAAGCGCTGGACAGTTGGGTCAGGACCCGAGCAGGGGGAAATGGTCAGGGTGAGGGGAGGGAAGGGAGGAAGCGAGGAGGGGGGAAATGGTCAGGGGGAGGGAAGGGAGAGGGCGAGGAGGGGGTAGAGAGTCGAGAGGGGAGCTGAAGGCACGGTCAAAGAGAAAGGTCTTGAGACCGGCCTTGAAGGAGGAAAGTGAGGAAGCAAGGCAAAGGTACTGGGGGATAGAGTTCCAGAGCCTAAGGGCTGAGAGGCTGAAGGTCCGGCCACCGATGGTAGGGTGGTTGGGGCGGGGGATGTGGAGCAGACCGGAGCCAGAGGAACGGAGGGTACGGGCAGGTAGACAGGGGGATAGTAGGTCGGAGAGGTAGGAGGGAGCGAGGCCGTGAATGGCCTTGTAGGTGAGGGTGAGGATCTTGAATTCGATTCTCTGGGGGATGGGGAGCCAGTGGAGGCGAGCGAGGGTGGGAGTGATGTGGTCACGAAGTCTGGTGCGGGACAGTACACGAGCTCCTGAGTTGGGTGGATTTGCAGTGCTCCAGGACGATGATCAGCCAGCCTGGCACATCACTGGGCACTTGGAGGAGCAATCGCTGAGGACAGGGAATCTTCTTGCCCAGCTCCTGTTAACGGTGCAAGCCAAAGCCCCAATGAGAACGATGGTCCTAGGCGGACAACCAGCGGGAAGCTTGACAGACCGTGCTTGCTAACGGCGGTTTTAGCTGTTGAACTTCAGCAGGACTGTAACACGTACTCTGGTATCCCGAAGGCTTGGTTCTTGCCAATTTAGTAATTTCCCAAATTAGGTAACCAGGTGCATCACTCTGGGGAAAGAGTGCGCATTCCATTCCAGACAAAGGGAACTTTCCAGATATTTGGTAGCAATCATGGGCGGACCTCTCAAAATATGGTTTGAATAATCGTAAACATGGTGAGGGGTTTCAATTGTACCAGACACCTGTCTGACTAAAAATAGCACACTGCAACCTGTTCACATCACAGTTGCACGGTGTGTGCAGCGTGTTGTGAACAGATACGTGCAGTGTGTTGTGAACAGGTGTGTGCAGTGTGATGTGAAACTGTGTGTCCAGTATGTTGTGAACAGGTGTGTGCAGTGTGAAGTGAACAGGTGTGTGCACACACTGCACACACCTGTTCACATCACACAGCACACACCTGTTCACAACACACTGCACATATCTGTTCACAACACACTGCACACACGGTTTCACAACACACTGCACACACATGTTCACAACACACGGCACACACCTGTTCTCATCACACTGCACACACCTGTTCACATAACACTGCACGCACCTGTTCAAATTACACTGCACACAGCTGTTCACTCACATTACAGTGCACATACGTTTCTTGATTAACAAGCTGTCTCAAGCTGAGCAGACACTGAAGACTACATTAACCACAAGGACCAGTAAATGTTACTCTCCTCTCTCAGTACCTTAAACTTTACAGCTGTTCTCATCACACACATCTCCCTCGTCCCAGTGGATGTGAAAAATTACAGTTATGGCAATCACCAACAAACCATCCAAGTGCCCTGATTTATTCAGAGTGCCCCTCCTCCAGTATAATTCCATTTGACTGGTTGCTTCTTATCAAATTCCTTCAAACAAGTTTGCGAAACTATCAAGATGATACATTTGGATGAAAGGCATTACATAAGTGCAAATTATTATTGTTGTTGAGTAAATTTTAAGGCATTTAAAGCCTATATAATTAAATACAAATAATACAGTAAATAAATAGTAGAGGTCCTTTTGGCTTGATGTTTTAGGTCCCATTGGAGCTTTCTATTATAATTCCATTTTCTTGTTCTTTTTCAATATTTATTGAGAACTTTACTCATGTGTTTATTTGATTTCCTTTAAACTGTGTAAATTGACTCAGCTTCAATAGATGCTTGTGATTATAATCGCCTTCTACATCCTAAAAAGTCTTTGTCTGTTAAAAATAAATCTACCAACCTCATTCATTCTTTATGCGGGAAGAAAGTTATATTGTCTCATTTCTATTTACTTACATCAGGAAAGGAATTAATTTATTTACAAACAAAGGTAAAAAAGCTTAGCAATAAGAAGTTACATTAGCAGCAAAACATTCAAAATATTTTGTTTGTGGCAGAACTATACTGAACAATATCCGGTTGGCATTCTGTGCACATGGATTAATTCCTGCTTTGGATGCACATAAAACCCTTTTGAAGGAGATGCTCCTCTGAAAAACATCATCCCAAGGACAGTTGGTTGAGCACCAGACTTGAGTCCAGATGTTACCTTTATGCAAACAATAAACTGTTGGAATTAGATAGAAGCCAAAGCCCTTTAGAAGGGCTTGAATCCACAATCAGTAGAATGATGTCAATTGAGCCGTATGCAACAGAATACGATTTACAATTATATAAGCGCCTTTCACATTGGGAGGATGTCTCAAAACGCTTTGCCCTGTTCCCCTACACCCGAGCCAGGGGGTGGGAGCTGAAGAGGGTGGGAGGGGAAAAATAACTGAAAATGCGGTCAAACAGGTGAGGTTTGAGACAAGCTTTAAATATGGAGAGAGGGTGAGTCAAAGGGATAAAGAAAGACAGGAACACACTTGTGCAAAGTAAACTGGCCAAAGAAGTTATACATAATAATAATCATCCTTACATTTGCTATTCATGTCAGGGGAACATCTCAAAGCACTTCACCGGCTATACGGTAAAGTCTAGTGACTGTATTTGTATTTTGTGGATGAGCATCAGCCTTTTGGTAAATGACCAAAATTGTCGCCAGGAGAAACTCCTTTTCCTTTCAGAATACGATGTGGAAGGCGCTATATAAATATAAATTTGATTTGTATTGGATAGAGCCATGGGAGCTTTAACATCCACTTTCCAACAATGCAGCACACCCGCAACACCCACATTGTCAGCCAAGACTATATGAGTTCCCAATCCTGACGTGACATTCAGCATACACTGCAAATAGGCATGGTCCAGTGACAAGGTCATCTAGCTGAACAAATGTAACACAAACCATAGATTGATGGAGATGGTGATCTCTGCACTAATAAAAAGACTACGTTATGAGATAAAAATAAATAAGATAAGAACTCACCTAAAATGCTGAAACTGATAAACTGACCCTAATGTCACAGGCATACAATGCATGGTATTTCAAAATAAATACCAGTCTGAAATATTAGAAATATAATTTTCTCCTTGACATGAATAGATAAAAATTGAATGGATGAATTGTCAGCAACTTGACGGATAGAAAATTGTAGAATTACTGTATAATAAAAATTAATCCTGACCCTAAGCCTAGATATTCACTCAAACAAGTTATCCTAAATATAATTATAATGCAACACTAAACCTCCTGGTAACGGAAGATAAAAGAAAAAAGTTAGGATCCAGCAAAGCTATTATTATTATTTACAATGAAAGAGAAAAGTATATCTTATTAAATTATATATCTGTTCCTCCTTATGTCAAAACAGCTGTTTTCTATTCCCTCACTCTCGCTCGCACACACACACAATCATATTCTTCACAAATTCTGTTCATATGGCATGCGTATCTTTTCACATGTGGGGTAGGGGGGAAGGAGGGAAGAAAACAGAGAGTAGGGAAATGGGACTAGAGATGAGAGTAACAGTGGGGGAACAAGCACCAGCACAGACACAATGAGTAGAGAGAGAGAGACAGTAGGGGAATGGGGTTCCCAGAGACAGTGACGGTGTAGGTCTCAAACCAGCACCTAGTGATGCACAAATGTGCCAGGGATAACTCTGCCTCCAATTGTGCCATCGTGGATTGTATCATGATTGGTGCTGAAACTCGGTTGGGGGAGGGGTGGTGGGAAAGAAGATCAGCGATGTAAATTTCAAATACACTATGATCTATTGTCCTGATATTCTGGGCTTTAGAGAGCAAGTTTCACGAGCTTTCAATTCCCTGTATCCCCTTATGCTCACACAAATAAATATTATTTTAGTTTGCAAAAAAAATCCTTTTTTTTGAAACCCCAAATAACTTTAAGTTGTACACTGATGGCAATTGGCATAGTGGTCTCTGGTGTTGCTTTCAAACCCTATATCCTTGCATAAAATCCAAGGAACTTATCATGATCACCTGTTACAAGAGAATTTGAGGTAGTTTAAAGTATTTGTGCTAGATCTGAATTCAAGAACAAATTAGCTAGAGTTCTGTTAGGAAATGATATCTCCAGGTATAATATATAGTTTAAGACATAAGGTCATGCAACTGCCAGGCTGGTGGAAGGCGAACTGGATGGAGCTAGCAAATTCTTATTTTCTTATGTTCTTATGAGTGTCTTTAAATTGGGGAGTTCCTGATGAAAAAGATAAGGAGCAACTAAAATAGTGTAACCTGTAGCCTGTGAAGAGTTCATGAGGTTCACTTGGTGTCATATATAAAGAGAAGGAAACTTAAATCCTTCACCTTCTGATATCTTCTGAACTCTCAAATTCCAGGGTTATGTTTACGTTTTAACCATGATTAGTTGTAATCATTGTTGAAATGCAGTTTGTTGATTGAGGTATATCCCGAAGATCACATGAAAGGATGCTCAAAATAATTTTTTTGCAATAGTGTTTTATCCATCCATTTGGAACACAAATATTTATCTTTTACTGATATTTATGTTTCAAAAACAATCAAACTCAACAAAAAAGTATGAAGTAAACACTCCCAACTAGCTTTGATACTGGTCTTTATGTAGTTAGTGAAGTGTAAATGTTAGCAATAGAGTATCAACAACAACAACAACAAGATTCCATTTATAAAGTGCCTTTCACGTCAGGAGGACGTCCCAAGGCGCTGCACAGTTGGGTCATGACCCGAGCAGGGGGCAAATGGTCAGGGTGAGGGGAGGGAAGGGAGGGAGCGAGGAGGGGGGAAATGGTCAGGGTGAGGGGAGGGAAGGGAGGGAGCGAGGAGGGGGAAGAGAGTCGAGAGGGGAGCTGAAGGCTCGGTCAAAGAGTATCCTTTCCTGCATTGTCCTTGAAGAGAAAGAAAGTGAAAAGGGTCACCAGTAACTTGAGCTGCCGCAGAGATAAAAGAGCAGGATGATTAAAATGCTTCCCCCATTGTATTCCAACAACACACAGAAGAGCTTTTTGTTTTTGTTCCAGATCAGGAAACACATCTCCAGATTACATCTTGTAATCTCTCTTGACATCTCGTTGAATTATCAGATTTATCTCACTTTGCGCTCAATATCAGTAGTGGAACAAGTAGTGAACTGAGGCCAGTGTAGACATGGAAAATAAATTTATTTCAAATAACTCTTATGGCATTATTCATCTAACATCCCTGGGCAGATATCTCTATTTTAGTTATGAATATGAGAATGCAATAGTTACAAATATTATTGTCTTTTTTATTAAGATTTGAAGGTCGTTGTTGTTTTAATATAGTGTCTTGCAGAACATGTTTCTAAGTTTACCTGCAGAGATGGACACAATTATAGGGAGCACTTTAAACAACATTTATGTTGTGTCTTGGAGAGCTTTTAACAACATTTATGATATGACATTTAAATGTGCCACCACTGTTATGTTTGCCATGTGTCCAACCATTTATGTTTGTCTTTAAGACTGAAAGTCATATTGAGACATGCAGAGAGAGGAAAGGGTTGTAGGAAACTGAATTGTTTACCTGGCTTCCCTTAAGTATTTATTTGAAATCTATAACATTGAAACTTGCATTTTTATAGTGCCCAGTAAAACATAAACATCTCAAAGCACTTTAAAACATATTGATTAGAAATGAAAGTTGTTGCATCAGAAAATGCAGGAACTAATCTGTAACCAACAACAACTCTTGCCTACAATATACAAAGTCACTTCACTTCACAGTTGAGATGTCCTGATGTGTAAGGCACTATATCAAATGTACATCAAATGTAAGGATTATTATCTTATTTTATCTCATAAACAAGATAAGTAGCTAAAATAATTACCTTTGGGTAGGTAAAATTAATACTAATATAATAATCCTGGCATTTGAGTTTGTGGCTTCTCACAAGATGTCTTAAAGTGTTTCACAGGATTTTACTGTGAAAAGTCATGACATTCATGGAGTCCTGTAGCTCAGTGGTTAGAGCACTTGCCTTGGAGGTGACAGACCTGGGTTCGATTCCCAGCAGGGCAAAACATTGAGTAAGTTTCCTTGTTCCACGCACCTCTGTTTACCTAGCAGTTGGTAGGAATTTGGTTGTTAGTCAATTGACAGATCTCTTTTCTGCAGGTAATAAATCCTTCAAAAAACAATAATGATAATAAATTGGTCACTCAATCCATGACTGTTTGTGGGACACTGTTGTGTGCAATTGGCTGTCGGGTTTCGTCTACAAAATATATAGTCAATTCACTTTACTGTATATTCTGTGAAGTGCTTTGAGACGTCTTTAAGATGTGATAAAGCGCTGTATCAAATGCAAGGATTATTATTATTATAGGCAAATGCAGTAGCCAATTTCCGTATACCAATATCCCACAAACAGCCATGAAGTGGAAGTGAATGACTAATTTTATTTGGGGGACTGTTGGCCAGGAGACCTTCTGACTTAGAGGCCAAAAGTACTACCGACTGAGGAGTCAGACTGGCACTGAAACCAAGTATTTAAAGTTGGTGGAGAAATTTTCAAGAATTGGTTTGCGGGTGGGCGAGAGAGAATGGCCATGAGTGTGCCAGCCTGGCTCAATGGTTGCACTCTCACTTCTGAGTCAGAAGGTGGTGGGACTGGAACTCACACTTTCTAAGATGACATTGCAATGCAGTGCTGGTGGGGGGGGGCGTGGGGTGGGGGGTAGGTGGGTGTTGCATTGTTGCAGGTGCCGTCCTTCGGTTGAGAAGTTAAACCAAGGTCCTGTCTGCCTGTTCGGGTGGATGTTAAATATCCCATAGCACTATTCGAAAGGAAGAGGTAGTTTCTGGCGATGTCCTGCACAACAATCACCCAAATCAGATTGGTCACTCACTCCGTGGTTGTTTGTGGGACATTGCTGTGTGCAAATTAGCTATTGAGGTTTGCCCACGAAAATACACAGTCACTCACTACACTTTACAACATATCCTGTGAAATGCTTTGAAAAATGGAGGGATTATTATCATTATTAAGTGTCAAGTGGTCAGTGTCAACTCCAAAGTCCACCAAACACTAGCCCAAAAGTAGCCCAATAATGATGCCTTCCTTGCCTTACCTATGGGAAAGCAGCACAGTGGCCAATTTAAGTTAGTGATTTTGAAACAATGTAAGAGAAAAGATCGGGGAGGGGGGCACGATTTAAAATTAAAAAATGAAGATTTAAGCACCCGCCCAAAGCCGTTGTTTTCAGGCACGGTTCCAACAAAACCCGCCCAACTGGGCGTGAACCGCCAACTGTGTTGATAACATTTATGGATAGGTTCACTGACTATCATCTTTCCATTGTGTTAACAAGGAGAATCCTTCCCACCCTTTACAATGCGCTGTTTAAAGGTAGAAATATGGGCATTGAAAAAAATCACTGAATCATTTAATTATTTTGGTAAATTTGTTTCAGATTCCAAACTTCTTGCATCTCACTCCACCTGCAATAAAAAGACATTGTGAAGCTTTAAAAGGTAAGCCTCAATTGTCTAATTCCCTTTTAAAAGCTATTATGGATTCTGCTTCAATAACCATAAACTTCTGTCTTCTGTTGAAAACAAATTCAAGCACGACATTGAAAATTGGAGTGTAAAAAGTACGCATCCTAACTTACAACCACTCTTTCACTCACATTAACTCACAATAGAAATTATATACAATTTTTATTTAGTGAATATTACTAAAAGTTGTATTGCAAAATATTTGCTACATACAGCTTTACGTATCTTTAACAAATTTTACAGAAAAGCCTTCACAGCTTCATTCCTTTTTGAAAATCATTTTTTTTCAGTTAAACTTCAAGAAAATTTCAGTTAAATCTCATTCAGAAACTACTCTTAACAGTGTATGCTGCAGAGCACATTGAGACATTCTCTGGACTTGACTACATCAAATGCAAGGATCGTTTAGTTATTTATTCATTACTGGAATTTCAACTGCCATGTGCAATTTCAAGATAATAGGTAAAGAATTTGCATCTGATTATTACATCTCCATTGTTTTGTAGCTACATTTGCAGAAGAGAAAAAAAACAAGATTCACCACATTTTCTTTTCCAGTACTTGACTGAGTCATAAGATTGTGGGTTCAAGCCCCAAATTGGTATTTCGAGCTTATGTAGACTAGGCTGACACTTCAATGCAGTGCTGAAGGTGTGCTGCATTGTCCTGAGATGCTGTTGTTAGAATGAGATATTAAACTAAAGTCCCATCTGCTTATTCAGGTGAACATCAGAGATCCAATGACACTCTTTGAAAAGAGAAGGGATTTTCTCCTGGTGTCCAATAATTATACAAATAAAATTATAGGACTGTTTGTGGGACATTGCTGTGCAAATTTTCTGCCGAATTTGCCTATAAAATACACAGTAACTACTCTTAACAGTATATGTTGTGAAGTGCATTGAGACATCCTCCTCACGTGAAAGGTGCTGATGTGAGGATTATTTACTCATTCACGCAATACTGGAATTTCAACTTCATTCTCTCCTTCCCATAAAAACTGTGTTGTGGCACCACCGAAGTAAACTGCTCAACTTACCTTTATTTTCGGCCTTGGTGGTGTGCTGCACTGTAGTCTTGGAAGTTCAATTTAGATTTTTTTTTAAAGTTTATACTTACAAAGAATGTACAGCACGGAAACAATTCCAACCAATCCTTGCCAATGTTTATATTCCACATGAGTTTCCACCCATTCCTTACTCACTCCCATACCCTTCTATTTCCCTCTCATGTGAATGTCTAGCTTCCTCTTGAATGTATCTAAAGAAGTATATAACTAAGAGTTGGTCAATGTTGGCACCGACTACCTGATGGAAAGTGTTATATTTTCTGTGAATTATTTTCCCTGACAAACCAAAAAAGTGAACTATCCAGAGAGAATATGATTAGATAATGACAATAATAATAATCCTTGCATTTGATATAGTGCCTTATCGCATCTTCAAGACGTCCCAGTGTGCTTCACAGAATATACTGTAAAGTGAATTGACTATATTTTGTGGGCGAAATGCAGCAGCCAATTGCGCACTGCAGTGTCCCACAAACAGTTGTGTATTGCGAGACCAATTTATTTATAAAGTAACTACTGATGAAGAGTAAGAGCAATTGCTGTTTTGTTTACAAAATCGATGTATACCAAGGATCATGCAGAAAATTAATGCATTTCTTTTGCATTTGGGCCAGTGGATGATCTTTCATCTGTATTTTCATACAGATGTAGCAGATATTATTCTAGCAAGATATGCATATGTTAGCTATCACTGTACTTGATGGAACAGAATTTAGGGTTCTTTATAACTTAGTATACTTTAATGCTTAATGTTTTCTTTCCCTTGACATTCTGTATTTCAGATTTCTGCACTGAGTGGCCTGCCGCACTTGATAGTGATGAGAAATGTGAGGAGCACTTTCCAATTGTAATTAAGACGACCGATTATGTTGCTGCAGGACCTTCGCTCCGAAATCCCAAAGCAAGAGTGGTCACCTTTGTCCTTAAACGTTCAGCAAATTAGCTATATAATGCAATTCCTTTTATTGTCCAATTTTAATTTTTAACCTACTTACTGCTAGGTAAACACACGTTTCTGTTTACCTAGCAGTAAGTAGGAACCCGTTTGGTAGTCGATTGGCAGATTGCTTTTCCGGGGATAATAATGCCTTAAAAAAAATTAAAATAATAATAATTTGGTCACTCAATTGTTTGTAGGATACTGCTGTATGCAATTGGCTGCCATGTTTCGCTCACAAGTATACAGTCAATTCACTTTACAATATATTCCGTGAAGCGCTTTGAGACATCTAGAAGACGTGAAAAGTGCTATATCAAATGCAAGGAATATTATTATTATTATATGTGGAGAGTTATTATTATACATGAGTGTTGAGCACAGATAGCATTATTTATAAAGCTAGACAGTATCATCCACAAAAGAGTCATTATCATTTATGTGAAAATTATACAGCCATTAATTGTAATTTCTATTTTACATAATTCATTAATAGTAAAATCCTTAAAATCATTTTAGAAATGCTATGCAAGGATATAATGATAGTAATCCTTGCATTTCAGATAGCACCTTATCATGTTGTTGAGACGTCTCAAAGCGCTTCACGGGATATACTGTAAAGTGAATTCAGTGTGTATTTTGTGGGGTGAAATGCAGCAGTCAGTTTGCACACAGAAATATCCCACAAACAGAGATAGAGTGAGTGAACAATTTTATTTGGGGAATTGTTGCTAAGATCATCAGAAAAATTCCCTTCTGTTTTCAAATAGAGCAATGGGATCTTTTATGTCCACCTGAACAGGCAGACCCAACTTCAGTTTAACATCTCATCAGACAAAAATCACCTCCGTCAATGCAACACACCCACAGCATTGCATTGGACTGTCAGTTTAGACAAGGCGGTTCCAAGTCCCAACATGGAAATTGAAAGATATTTTGTGAGCTGCAAATTAAGAGTGTGAAAGGAATTCAGTTTCGAGATGTAATATTTGTTCCTACTTTGAAATATAAACACTTTGAGAACTCATTCATTCTGTCTCTGACAATCCTCTACCACTAAACAGAGAAAACTACAGGAACGGTAAGAGTTCTGTAAGAAAGACAAAACTTATGAATTTGTGCAAATGGCATCACCACAGTAGCATTTTACCCTTTGTCAATGGTTGAATTGCTGTAAGGCCATCTGCCAGGACATCTATGGACCAGCCACCAATGATGAACCAATTCTGCTCCAATTGAGCAATTGGAAAATCCAGATTTTAGTTTTAACGCATCAATCTTCAACACAAACTTATTGTTCAAACACCTTTTTACTGTCAATGTTGAGTCTCAGAGCACATGGTTACAGTGTTGGCTAGACAGTCGTGTTGAGGAGTCCCTCACAGTGTCAGTAATCTAGACCCTACTTAATACCAAACACAATGTGTTGGCGTTCACCGCCAGAAACTTCTCAATACAGTACCGCACAGTACTTACACGGTGAAATGATACGTGAAGCACTTCCATCCGCTGGGCCTTTCCAAGAAGTTGTATACGTCTCCCTGCAGGCTAGTCTTAGTCAGGTAAGGTCGGTAAAAACAAACCGACCCATTGTTTCTATTAGTCTCCGAGCCTGCCATGGGGGGATTGTTGACCTGGAAGGTGGAGTGAGTTTTGTCCGCCTCAGGACTGGTTGGTACTCCTGATCCATTATTAACCTCTTGCTGGAGTGAAACTGGAGAGTAGCGAGCATCACCCGTGTCTTCGTTCACTTCCAAAAACATTGAGGAGCTTCGGTGGCCACTGATGCTGTGGAGTGAGGAGTTGGAGCTGTCCATTTGCCTGCTGAGATTGTACATGGGGTGTCCACCCGACTCACCGTTACCGTAAGGCATTGGGACATCTAGTGAGGCTCGATCCCCGGCGGATCTCTCACCTGAATGGATTTACCCCACAGGGGAAGGCAGCAGCAGGCAGGCAGGCAGGCGTTGTGTGGGACTTGGCATTGATGGTAAGGAGGTTTTGATCCCAGTCCTTTCGAAGTCGCACACACACACACACACACACAAGCAGCTCGTATCCTCTGGAAGAACAAGGAGAAGAAAAAGAGAGCGAACCTGAGAAAAAGAACAAATCTCGCTGAATGCAAATAAATTAGTTAAGAGATTATAAATAAATAACTTTTTTAAAAAATACAAAGAACACACACTTGCAAATCTGCAATGAGTGCAATGGAGAGGTCAGTAGGGGGGGAGTGGGGGGCGATGGAATCTAGCTGCTATGGGAATAAAGTTGTTGCTCTGCAGTTACTCAGACGACAAGTGAAGAACAGATAAGATTAGGGCATTTAAAATAAAACTCTAGAGCATCGCCAGGGAGGGATGCGTTAAATACCAGGCGCATTATTTAAATAGCGACAGGGGAATTAATTTTTTGGGGGGGGGGACAGTTTTGCAGGAAAATGCCAAGAGGCAGATGGCGAGGCCGGAAAGCAAAAAAAAAAGCAAAAAAAATGTGAAAATTCAAAAAAAAAAATGTTTACAATTTAAAAAAGTTTTTTTTAAAAAAAAGAAGAAAAAACTAAAAAAAAAAAGAAGCATAAGCCGAATTAAATAAGGCAAAGGAACCGTTCTTACTGTCAAGGGTTTTGTAGCGTTTGCCACAAACAACTGAGGATTCGCCAGACAACTCCACTGCAAAGTCACTTTGCGCACTTCCAGCAACACCCGCAGATGCAATGCACTGAAGTATCCCCCAAAGTGGGAGAGTGGGGGAGGTTGGGGTGGGGTTGGGGTGCGGGTTGGGGGGGGGGGGGACGAAGTCAACCCAAGAAACTGACCCGACCGACCCCCCCCCCCCGCTCTGTCTGTCTCACCTGCCTGGTCACCCGGAGCGGCTGTGGAGTGAGGAGTGAGGTGCGCTCCACTCGCCAGCGCGCAGTGACTGCGCTGCGCATCCACCTGTCGGGGGGGTGGGGGGGGGAGTGACACACACAGACACACACACACACAGACATACACACAGACAGATACACACACACACAGACACACACACACACACAGATAGACAGACAGACACACAGACAGATACACACACACAGATAGACAGACAGACAGACACACACACAGATAGACAGACAGACACACACACACACACATAGACACACACACACACAGACAGACAGACAGACAGACAAGCAGCAGAGCAGGCGCAGACCTGAGCCTCGCACCTGGGTCTGGGTCTGATCTCCTCACAATGTGTGCCCACTCCGCCCACTCCTCTTCTCAGCTCAGTCCCCCCACCCATCCTGTGTGGGAAGGGGGTGGCTGGGAGTGGGGGGTGGATGAGGGTGGGGGTGGGGGAGGTTTGGAAGGTGGGGAGGAGTGAGTTCTCCTGAGGGTGGGGTGACCGTATTTTGTAAACCGAATGACAACATCATTTTTTAAAAAAAAATTGAACGCGACACAATTCTCGATCCACCGCTGTTTGGGGGACACTGCCGTGCGCCGATTGGCTGCCGCCTTTCGCCCGTAAAATATACAGTCAATTAACTTTACGGTATATTCTGCGAAGCGCTTTTGAGACGTCTCAAAAGACGTGATTAGGTGCTATGTCAAATGCAAGGATTATTATTAGTAGTAGTCGTAGTAGTAGTAGTATTAGTGATGCTGGCATTACTAGATATTGTTGGATTAATGGCGGCATTTCTCTGATCAGTGTTTTTGTTTTAGAATTGTAATATTCTTGCTAGTTTGCTGCTGAACTCATGACGGGGCAAATTTGGCCAAGAACATGATAATAATAATAGTAATAATCCTTGCACTTGACATAGCACCTGATCACATGCTTAAGACGTCTCAAAGTGCTTCACGGGATACTCTGTAAAGTGAATTGACTGTATATTCTATGAGCAAAACCTCAATCGGGGACTGTCCTCGGATATCGTGTATATATGTTCACCCTACCTTAGGGCTAAGTTGATGTGCCTAGCATTGAAATATAAGAATCTTCTCAATGCTCTTTGACAGGCTTCAACAACAACAACAAGAAGATTCCATTTATAGAGCGCCTTTCACATCGGGAGGACTTCCCAAAGCGCTGGACAGTTGGGTCAGGACCCGAGCAGGGGGAAATGGTCAGGGTGAGGGGAGGGAAGGGAGGAAGCGAGGAGGGGGGAAATGGTCAGGGGGAGGGAAGGGAGAGGGCGAGGAGGGGGAAGAGAGTCGAGAGGGGAGCTGAAGGCACGGTCAAAGAGAAAGGTCTTGAGACCGGCCTTGAAGGAGGAAAGGGAGGAAGCAAGGCAAAGGTACTGGGGATAGAGTTCCAGAGCCTAAGGGCTGAGAGGCTGAAGGTCCGGCCACCGATGGTAGGGTGGTTGGGGCGGGGGATGTGGAGCAGACCGGAGCCAGAGGAACGGAGGGTACGGGCAGGTAGACAGGGGGATAGTAGGTCGGAGAGGTAGGAGGGAGCGAGGCCGTGAATGGCCTTGTAGGTGAGGGTGAGGATCTTGAATTCGATTCTCTGGGGGATGGGGAGCCAGTGGAGGCGAGCGAGGGTGGGAGTGATGTGGTCACGAAGTCTGGTGCGGGACAGTACACGAGCTCCTGAGTTGGGTGGATTTGCAGTGCTCCAGGACGATGATCAGCCAGCCTGGCACATCACTGGGCACTTGGAGGAGCAATCGCTGAGGACAGGGAATCTTCTTGCCCAGCTCCTGTTAACGGTGCAAGCCAAAGCCCCAATGAGAACGATGGTCCTAGGCGGACAACCAGCGGGAAGCTTGACAGACCGTGCTTGCTAACGGCGGTTTTAGCTGTTGAACTTCAGCAGGACTGTAACACGTACTCTGGTATCCCGAAGGCTTGGTTCTTGCCAATTTAGTAATTTCCCAAATTAGGTAACCAGGTGCATCACTCTGGGGAAAGAGTGCGCATTCCATTCCAGACAAAGGGAACTTTCCAGATATTTGGTAGCAATCATGGGCGGACCTCTCAAAATATGGTTTGAATAATCGTAAACATGGTGAGGGGTTTCAATTGTACCAGACACCTGTCTGACTAAAAATAGCACACTGCAACCTGTTCACATCACAGTTGCACGGTGTGTGCAGCGTGTTGTGAACAGATACGTGCAGTGTGTTGTGAACAGGTGTGTGCAGTGTGATGTGAAACCGTGTGTCCAGTATGTTGTGAACAGGTGTGTGCAGTGTGAAGTGAACAGGTGTGTGCACACACTGCACACACCTGTTCACATCACACAGCACACACCTGTTCACAACACACTGCACATATCTGTTCACAACACACTGCACACACGGTTTCACAACACACTGCACACACATGTTCACAACACACGGCACACACCTGTTCTCATCACACTGCACACACCTGTTCACATAACACTGCAGCACCTGTTCAAATTACATGCACACAGCTGTTCACTCACATTACAGTGCACATACGTTTCTTGATTAACAAGCTGTCTCAAGCTGAGCAGACACTGAAGACTACATTAACCACAAGGACCAGTAAATGTTACTCTCCTCTCTCAGTACCTTAAACTTTACAGCTGTTCTCATCACACACATCTCCCTCGTCCCAGTGGATGTGAAAAATTACAGTTATGGCAATCACCAACAAACCATCCAAGTGCCCTGATTTATTCAGAGTGCCCTCCTCCAGTAT